CGGACGTGGAGTGCAGGGGAGCATTGGCTCCCCATGAGGGTCCCCTGCACACCCTCTGCTCCAGGGAAGGAGTTAGAAACGTGCCGTGGCTCAGTCAGCCAAGAGGGCACCATGGAGAGAGTGAAAGACCCAGGCCTCAGTGGTTGACTCTGACATCAGACGACCCAGCTGGGATGCTCTAGGGTTTTCAGGCTGGGGAACGCCCTTCTGCTGAGCATCATAGAGGGCATGAGGTCCTCTTAGTGACGGACGGGGCACATGGAACTGACCCCCAGGATCAGGATCCTCTAACCTTCTGGAAGTGTTCCCTAAGCCTGTGAAAGGAGGGTTTGCAATTTCTCTCAAATCTCTCCCCCAGAAGACATCCCGGCACAGCAGCGGGGGAGGCGGAGGAGGCACTGGAGGAGGAGGCGGCAGCGGCGGCAGCATGGGGGGAGGTGGCAGTGGTTTCATCTCTGGGAGGAGAAGCCGGTCAGCCTCACCATCCACGCAGCAGGAGAAGCACCCCACCCACCACGAGAGGGGCCAGAAGAAGGTAGAAGCCCCGCCCTCGCCTGTCGTCACTCCCACATGGGGACTCAGAGACTCACAAACATGGCTCAAGAAGCCATCATGAGGTGCCCTTAAGGTCTTGGCCCTGCCTTCTTCCTTCCTCTGAGGCCACTGAGGGCAGGAGGGGGCTGAAGTAAAACAGGGGGGTGACGTGGGAACTTGGCTTCCCTGTGGCTGTATTAGTGGTTCCTCTGGGTCCTCCCCATGACATCACAGTGTCCCCCAAGCCCCAGACACATGGCTCTGCACGTTGCACATGTCTCCGCAGTCCAGCCATGTGCCGCCTAGTGTGTAAGTGCTAATGCCTGCGTTCCCTCGCACCACATAGCACAGCGTGCCCTGCTCCTATCCGTCTGTGCAGCTGTGTCCCAGGTGGACACCCTTGCAGGTGTGTGTTCACGCGCGTGGTGCTCTGTGGCACTGGCGTGATAATGGGACAGGCTATTTTTAGCAGGCGGGGCCGGGGGAAGGGCTGTTGGCTCTCATAGGAACTTGCCTGAGTTGCTCCTTCCCAGCCCATTAGCCTGCCCTCCTCAGGGAGAGAGGATGCCCACAAAACCCCATCCTGAGAGGGTGTCAGCTCCCCATACCCACATGTCATGTTTATCCTCGCCCAGACAGCCCCCCAGCACAGTATCTAGTCACCTCTTCCTCTCCAGAGTCGAAAGGACAAAGAACGCCTTAAGCAGAAGCACAAGAAGCGGCCTGAGTCGCCCCCCAGCATCCTCACCCCGCCCGTGGTCCCCACTGCTGACAAGGTACTGCTGCCCATGTTCAGGAGGGATGGCGCGTGGGTCTGGGGTGGCAGAGGGAGGGAGGTGAGGGGCGAGAGGTTGGTGAGCCAGGGACTTGGGTACCCTCCCCATAGCTTCAAGTTAATGCCACTCCCCTCCCACCCCACACCCTTTACTCTCTTCCAGCCTAGAAGGGGCCACCAATCACTGACCAACCATGGGATTGGGGGTTTGGGGTGCTGGATGCCAGATGTTCCCATCTGCCTCTGTCCAGAGGGCCTCAGCCCTGGGCTCTTGTCTGCAGAGAGTGGGGGATGGCACTCAGGCCTGCTCTCCAAGTTCTAGGGCCCATATCCCCAGAGATGAGTAGAGGACATCCCCTACGCCCCATCAGGAGGACACCCAAAGCTTGTCACCCAACCCAAATCCCACTCCGTGCAGGTTGGAGGGGCTGAAAGTTCTGACCAAGGTGTCATGGGGGGCAGGCCCCTGGACAGTACCCCCAAACTCCCACTCATCCCCCCCCATTTCCAGCAGGGCATGGTATATCAGGCCTGTCTCCAGAAATGGGCAACATCTGGATGAGCCATAGGCAGGCCCTACCCTAGGCCAGGGAATTACTAATCCAAGCTGGAACAGCCCTCCCTGCTCCCTACAACCTGCCCTCCCCATGGGAGGAGAACCCAGGAGGGTGCGGGGAGCTGGAGAAATTGCTCCCTCCTGTCACCATTATTGCCCATTCACCTCCACTCTACCTCAGATGGTTGGCAGAGCTCTGGGCACCTTAGCAGGAGGCTCAGGTATCAGGTTTCCAGGGTGATGTTGCTGTGGCAACTGCCCCAGTAAACCTCTCCCTTCCCTGCTTCCCAGGGCTCACCTGGAGAGCTTGTCATTCATGCCCTCTGACCTTTCCAGGGCCCTGCAGGCAGGTGGCAAGAAATGGCCAGGGATCTGGGAGTTTCTCCAGTAACTGGATGTCCCTTGGACATGCCAGAGAACTCTGCCCATCCCCCTCCACTCGACCCAGCACTTCAGCTACCCTTCCCCCCAGCCCCTCTCTTCCCTTGCTCTCAGAACCACATCTGGCTCCCTTCAGAACTCCAGCTGTTGAAAAGAACAAAGAGGAAGACAGAGACCAGGACTCTGCCTGGGAGGGGCAGGGCAGGGTGGCTCTTGTTTCCGGTCCAGCCTCCATTCAGCATTTATCTGTTCAGCACGATTGACTGAATACCTGGTTGCTACCAGGAGGAAAAGGGCCGTCCCTGGCAGCAGCCTGAAGCACGAATGAACTCACGGCATGCCAGGCTGTGTTCTGGAACCAGGAGATGGAAGGGCATATGGAGATTAGTCCATTTAATACTCAAAATAATCCAATTAGGTTGGAAATTTACCAACCCCATTTAATATATGAAGACGATGGGGCACAGAGAGGTTAAGTAATTTGCCTAAAAGCACACAGCTAGTAAAGTGGTAGAGCTGAGATTCCAACACAGTCTGGCTTGAAGGCTTGTGCTCTTCACCTGCTGCCATCGGATGTCTCATCATTTATTGACCCCATATGATGTATCTGGCATCATGCTGCTTCCAACTCACCACATATGCATAGTGCTCCCTGTAAGGACACTGATACTCATTAAGGTTGAGACTTTGCACAGTATAACATGGCAGAGAGGTCAGGTGCAGTGGCTCACGCCTGTAGTCCCAGCACTTTGGGAGTCTGAGGCAGGTGGATCTCCTGAGGTCAGGAGTTCGAGACCAGCCTGGCCAACATGGTGAAACCCTGCCTCTACTAAAAATACAAAAAATTAGCAGGGTGTGGTGGCTGGTGCCTGTAATCCCAGCTACTTGGGAGGCTGAGGCAGGAAAATCACTTGAACCCGGGAGGTGATTGAAGGTTGCAGTGAGCCGAGATCGCACCATTGCACTCCAGCCTGGGCAATAAGAGTGAAACTCTTATCTCAAAAAATAAAAATAAAAAAGCAAAAACATGGCAGTAAAGGGCAGAGCCTGCCAGGCTCATACCCTGCTCTGCCCGACTTAGAGCCCACGCTCCTTCCACCACCACGCTGCCACTCTCCTTGGTTTCTGGTGCCTCAGACACAGGACAGAACATTTCAGTGCAGAGTGTCAGCTGTTGACATGTGGTCAGGTGTGCCCAGTTCTCTGGAAATAAGGGGACAGAGTGCCTTGTTCCACCTGAGGTATTTAGGGAGGCTTCAGGGAAGAGGGACTTCTAAGCTGGATTTTAAAGGATGAGAAATTTCCCAGGAAGAGTAAGGATAGGCTCTCCTGGCAGACGCTTAGTGTGTGCAATCTCAGGTTGTCTAGGAAGAGCATGGGGTGGTCAGAGAATGGGTGGAAAGCCAGGGGGCTGAAGTTTGGAGTAGTAGCTGGAGGGCTCCAGGATGGCACCAGAGAAGTCCATTCTCCTGTGGGTCCTCTTCTCTGCCTCGCCACTTCCAGCATAGGTCCAGCTGCCTTAGGTGCCCTAAGTATTCAGTGAATGAATGGACCAATGAGTAAATCTCTTCAGACTCTGGGACTGTTTTCATCTCCCCCTCAGCTTCCATCTTCCCTGCCTAAGGTGAAAGACAGACGCCTTCTTGGGTTCAGTGAATTCCCCTCTGCCTCACACCCAGGAGTGCCACAGCTGCCTCCTCATATCCCTGTCTAGGAGCTCCCAGCCACTCCCTGCCCGAAAGTCCTTCACGAAACTAGCTGTGGGCTCTCTCAGTTGAGCGAGGTCCTGTGCCCCCCTGCTTCACTCCCACATCAGGATCAGCACAGGACCAGGCAGCCGGTGTCGAACCTTCCTCTCTCCTCTCCTTCAGGTCTCCTCCTCAGCTTCCTCTTCCTCCCACCATGAGGCCAGCACGCAGGAGACCTCTGAGAGCAGCAGGGACTCAAAGGGGAAAAAGTCTTCCAGCCATAGCCTGAGTCATAAGGGGAAGAAACTGAGCAGTGGGAAAGGTGTGAGCAGTTTTACCTCTGCCTCCTCCTCTTCCTCCTCCTCTTCCTCCTCCTCTGGGGGGCCCTTCCAGCCTGCAGGTGAGTGTGAGCATCCGGGAGGAAGCTGGGAGCAGGGAGAGCCTTTCATCCTGAGCTTTTCTGGCGAGGGACTTTGCATATTGGTTTTGCATCTCATTTACTTCTACATTGGTTCAGGATAAAGATGGGGAATCCCCTCCTCTCCAACCCTGCCCCTAAACCCTTCCTTCTTGAGCCAGAACTCTCCTCCTCCACCAACCCATAACAGTATTCCTTATCCCCTACATTTGTGCTACAAGGTACAATTTTTCAAGCACCCCGTAAACATTATCTCCTATAATCGCTACAGTCATCTGGTGAGGCCAGTAGGGTACGAGTTACTCTCCATTTTATTACAGGTGGGAAAGCTGGAGGGGTCGGGGGTACTTATCCCAGGACACAGACAGTAGCAGAGCTGAGACAGGAAACCAGGCGTCCCCATTCCTGGACCAGAGCTCTCTCCCTCCAGTACACGTGGGAGTGGGAGGGAGTGCAGGGATCTGGGGTCCAGCTGTAACCATTTTCCCTCTGTGCACAGTCTCATCCCTGCAGAGCTCCCCTGACTTCTCTGCATTCCCCAAGCTGGAGCAGCCAGAGGAGGACAAGTACTCCAAGCCCGCAGCCCCTGCCCCTTCAGCCCCTCCTTCTCCCTCAGCCCCCGAGCCCCCCAAGGCTGACCTTTTTGAGCAGAAGGTGGTCTTCTCTGGCTTTGGGCCCATCATGCGCTTCTCCACTACCACCTCCAGCTCAGGCCGGGCCCGGGCGCCCTCCCCTGGGGACTATAAATCACCCCACGTCACGGGGTCTGGGGCCTCGGCAGGCACCCACAAGCGGATGCCCGCACTGAGTGCCACCCCTGTGCCTGCTGATGAGACCCCTGAGACAGGCCTGAAGGAGAAGAAGCACAAAGCCAGCAAGAGGAGCCGCCACGGGCCAGGCCGTCCCAAGGGCAGTCGGAACAAGGAGGGCACTGGGGGCCCAGCTGCCCCATCCTTGCCCAGTGCCCAGCTGGCTGGCTTTACCGCCACTGCTGCCTCACCCTTCTCTGGAGGCTCCCTGGTCAGCTCTGGCCTGGGAGGTCTGGCCTCCCGAACCTTTGGGCCTTCTGGGAGCTTGCCCAGCCTGAGCCTGGAGTCCCCCTTACTAGGGGCAGGTTAGTGACCCCTGGGGACAGAGGGCATTTCAGGGCCCAGCCAGTCTAGTGAGGAACAGAGCTTACACATGCACTTAGAAGGAAATGGGATGGATACTCCTCCAAAAGACAGAGCACAGACAGTCAACTTCAGGACATCCCCCTCTGCATGCCTGGAGTGGAAAGGGTTGGGGGCAGATTGTCAGAAGGTTTTACCAAGTTTTGGGAGGGAGATTATAAAAGCTAGGAATTCCCCAGCCCTGGGCAGGGCAGTTTAACAAGCAGGCGCAGCAAGCAGATGTCACCCAGGCAAGAAGTGACATCTTTGCAGCAAGAGGGTTAGGCTGGATGTGTAGCCAGAATCAGGGAGCACTGGAGCTGGGGAGGGGCTGTAACAGCCCTGGCTGAGCAGGAGTCTGGGGTGGAGGGTAACCGTGTGCTTCCCTCTGTCCTCCTTGTGCCTGCAGGCATCTACACCAGTAATAAGGACCCCATCTCCCACAGTGGCGGGATGCTACGGGCCGTCTGCAGCACCCCTCTCTCCTCCAGCCTCCTGGGGCCCCCAGGGACCTCGGCCCTGCCCCGCCTCAGCCGCTCCCCATTCACCAGCACCCTCCCCTCCTCCTCTGCTTCTATCTCCACCACTCAGGTGAGACCTGACTCCCGGGCTCCTCCTTCTCTGGGCAGGTTGGGGACAGACTGACAGAGGACCCTAGCCTTCCGTGGGAATTGGAGCAACTGGGCTGAGTTGCCACCAGACCTCCCTCCGGGCTCTGGTCCCCTCTGCTCCCCAGCACACCCGACCCCGTGCACCCCGGTACACACAGTTGTGCCCTAGATCCAAGAATAACTGCCAGGGGATTCTACCTCCCTCCCTCAGGTGTTTTCTCTGGCTGGCTCTACCTTTAGCCTCCCTTCTACCCACATCTTTGGAACCCCCATGGGTGCCGTTAACCCCCTTCTCACCCAAGCTGAGAGCAGCCACACAGGTATGTGAATATCTGACCCCCTCTCCCCTTTCTTCCCAAAGGTCTGACACCCATCACCTGCATGTGACCCCAGAAAGAATGGGAGAGCTTTCTGGCTGCCCCCTCCCTCTGGCCATTGCCCTCCCTGCAAAAACAAACAGGCCGGGTGTGGTGGCTCACGCCTGTAATCCCAGCACTTTGGGAGGCTGAGGCGGGTGGATCATCTGAGATCAGGAGTTCGAGACCAGCCTGGCCAACATGGTGAAACCCCGTCTCTACTAAAAATATAAAAACTAACTGGGTGTGGTGGTGGGCGCCTGTAATCCCAGCTACTCAGGAGGCTGAGGCAGGAGAATTGCTTGAACCTGGGAGGCGGAAGTTGCAGTGAGGGGAGATCGGGAAACTCTTACCGCCCAGGCTCAAAACAAAACCCCAGCGTGGTGGCTCCCGCCTATAATCCCAGCTACTCAGGAGACTGGGCAACATAGGGAGAACCCGTCTCTTAAAAAAAAAAAATCCACACACAGCAAACCAGGGTACACTTTCACGTTAGAACCCAGCGAGAAGGCAGGTCAGGGCAGTTACTGCTCCATCTCACAGAAGAAAAAGACAGAGATGGAAGACTTGCTCAAGGCAGGGAATGGCAGAGCCAAAGCTTAGAGTCTGTTCTCCTGACTCCAAGCCCAGTGCTTTCACCGGTGTAGCGTGACTCCCGCTTGGCATCGGAGTGTGTCCTTGGGATCAGCCCTTACGGAGGTCTCAACCTCTCCGGGTATTTAGGAGTTAAGGGGGCGGGCCACAAGCTCCCCGCCCTCTCCCTGGAGAGTCAGCCCAGCCCCAGAGAGCTGATTGGTGCAGGGAGACCACCTGTCAGGCTAGGAGGCGGGGACTACAGCCAGGCTGCCGACTCAGGTAAGCCTTAAAGGGGACAAATATGATTCCACGTTTAAGAACGGCAGGGATTCTGTAGCCCAAGGAAGAGTTTTGCCTCCTAATTAGGGATCTGATGAATGTAAAAAGTCATACAGAGCTAATTATGATAATAGCTGCAGTCATTAAGGGCTTGCTACATGCCAGCTAAACCCTTCAGGTAAACACTTCACATTTATTACCTTCTTTTAATCTTAGTAACAGTCACTTCAGAGAGGCTGGTTAGGAGCCCAAGGTCACAAAAGTTGGTGTCAGGTTTAAATTAAATCCAGGTCTGTCTTGACCTCAAATTTCTATAATTCTGAAGATCCCAGGAAAGGAATTGGGCGGTGGATCTGAAAGAAGCCAGACAGTGGAGCCTTCAGCCCAGAGGAGGAAGAGAGAGCAGATGCCCGGGGTTTGCCTCCCAGGGGCAGGGTTTCCAAGCCAGGGCCCTCAGCGCTGGCCTTGAACTGCCAATCTGGTGTTGGGGATTCCTGGGGAAGGGGATCTGCGGCGAGGTCCCAATCCCATATCCACCTCGGGGGCGGGAACCCTGAGGCAGCGACCACTCCTCCCCGCTGATCCCAGCCTTCCCTTCTTCCAAGAGCCAGACCTGGAGGACTGCAGCTTCCGGTGTCGGGGGACCTCCCCTCAGGAGAGTCTGTCTTCCATGTGAGGGAATGGGCGGCCTGGAGGAGGGGCTGGGGGCAGGAGGGACACCCGAGGGAAGAGGGGCGGAGAGACCGGCGCGGGCTGGAACCCCTGGGGGGTACGGGGGAAGGGCCGGAGGAGCCTGGAGTGGTCGAATCCACTGAGCCCAGGTTCCTTCTGGCCGCAGGTCCCCCATCAGCAGCCTCCCCGCACTCTTCGACCAGACAGCCTCTGCACCCTGTGGGGGCGGCCAGTTAGACCCGGCGGCCCCAGGGACGACTAACATGGAGCAGCTTCTGGAGAAGCAGGGCGACGGGGAGGCCGGCGTCAACAGTGAGGAGGGGTGGCGCCGATCGGGACGCCTGCCCTAGGGCCCCAGTAGTCATCTTTCTCCCCGAAGTCCCCAAGCTTCTTTAAGGTTCCGCCCCTAGGCCCCGCCCCAGCCTTGACTCTCGGCCACCCTGGGCCTCACCTCCCATCCCTGCCAGGCCACAGTACCGGCCCTGGCCCCTCTGCGCCCCGCCTTTGGCCCTCGTGGCCTCCGCGCCCCGACCTTACCAAACCGCAACTTCCGCTCTTCTCTCCTGACCCCTATGGCCTCGACCCCAGCCTCAGGCTCTGCCCCAGGTCCTCACACCTGTGGCTCCCCAACTCCCGCCTCTCTTCTCAGAGCTCACCTGTGTCCTTCATTAGGCTGGCGCCTCCTTTTTAAGGGCTGAGCCCTGGCTCCCCTCCAGGCCCCGCCCCCGGCCCCCTGGCCCCGCCTCCGCCCGTCCTCGCCCCGCCCTCAGGTTCCTCGCTCTCTCCGCAGTCGTGGAGATGCTGAAGGCGCTGCACGCCTTGCAGAAGGAGAACCAGCGGCTGCAAGAGCAGATCCTGAGCCTGACGGCCAAAAAGGAGCGGCTGCAGATTCTCAACGTGCAGCTCTCTGTGCCCTTCCCTGCCCTGCCTGCTGCCCTGCCTGCCGCCAACGGCCCTGTCCCTGGGCCCTATGGCCTGCCTCCCCAAGGTGAGGGGATCCCGCCCAGCCTGGGAGAGAGGCTCCTGCCCTGCAGTCCGAACTGTCCCTGACTGCAGCCTGTGACATCCCTTCCACAGCCGGCAGCAGCGATTCCTTGAGCACCAGCAAGAGTCCTCCGGGAAAGAGCAGCCTCGGCCTGGACAACTCGCTGTCCACTTCTTCTGAGGTGGGCGCTACAAGGAGCGGGGCAGGAAGGAGGGGGAGACTCAAGGCTCTCCTGGTCCCATCTCTTCCCCACAGCTATTGGAGGCTGGGCAGTGAAGTGACTGACTGAGCAATTGATTGATCCATTCAGTCCTCCCTTAATCAAGTAATATTTATGAGGTGCCCACTTAGTGCCAGGCATTGGCTAAGCAATCAGTGAGCAAAACGGGCACAGTGCTGCTTCTGAAGATAGGCTACCCCAAGCGAAGAAGGAGTAATTACAAACTGGGAGACATGTTAGGGTGGAGAGAAATTGAAGGCTGTGAGAGAGAGAACGGGGGAGGGCTGCTTCTGTGGATAGAAAGTGGCTAGGGAAGGCCTCTTTGAGAAGTATTTGTGAAGGGTTTATTATAGCGCCTCACACAGAATAATTCCTGTGTAATTGGTGGCGGTTGGAATAGCAGTTGCTATTGCATTGTGGTTATTACTGGAATCCAACAAACTGGGTTCTTGTTCTCTCTGCCATTTGTTAACTGTGTGACTTGGGCAATAATAATCAAAATAATAACCAGCATTAATTGCACACTTGCCCTTTGTCATGCCCTGTGCTGAGATTTTTTAAAGCATTCATTTAGTCTTCATAGTAAGCCTGTGGAATAGGTACTACTATTACCCTCCAGCTTATAAGTGAGTAAACTAAGACAGGTTGAACCCAAGGTCACCCAAACCATTGAATTGTGGACATAGGATTTGAACCTGAGCCTTTCACTTCAGCTGTAGTGCTTTTGCCTGCAGAGTTACTTAACCTGTGCAAGAATCAATGGCTTCACGCATAAAATGAGAATAGCAAGATAGCACAGGTCAAGCCCTCAGCTCAGGATCTGGTTCACCAGATGGTCACCACCATCATCATTGTCCATTGTTAAATGAGGATGACGAGGGGCGCTGGGCTCTCAGGAAGGAGTCAGGAAACATGATTTGTGAAGACAATTTGGACTCTTAGCTCTCATTCCCAGACCTTGCTTCTTCCAGGGTGCCTGGGGGTGAAGTGGGGGTTGCTGTGCTCTGAGAATGCTGGTGGGTGCTGGGCCAGGGGCCAGAAAAGTCATGCTGGCCCTCTGACCCCTCCCTTCCCCCTCCCTCCCCAGGACCCACACTCAGGCTGCCCGAGCCGCAGCAGCTCGTCGCTGTCCTTCCACAGCACGCCCCCACCGCTGCCCCTGCTCCAGCAGAGCCCTGCCACTCTGCCCCTGGCCCTGCCTGGGGCCCCTGCCCCGCTCCCGCCCCAGCCACAGAACGGGTTGGGCCGGGCACCCGGGGCAGCAGGGCTGGGGGCCATGCCCATGGCTGAGGGGCTGTTGGGGGGGCTGGCAGGCAGTGGGGGCCTGCCCCTCAATGGGCTCCTTGGGGGGTTGAATGGGGCTGCTGCCCCCAACCCCGCAAGCTTGAGCCAGGCTGGCGGGGCCCCCACGCTGCAGCTGCCAGGCTGTCTCAACAGGTGAGGGAGAGCTCAGCCCTGGGAAAGGGAACAGGGTGGGGGGCTGGCTCTGGGAAGGGAGGGATTCTCCCCAAAACACCCACAATCCCTAAAAGGAAAAATGGCCTCTCGTCTCACAGGGTATATAATCCTACTCACTTCTTGGCCTCTAGGGACTCCACAGACTGTTAGACATGAGTGTCCTCTGAACGGTAGCTCCCCAGGGACAAAAGAATTGTTGACTTCCTCTCCTTCACTCTAGGATTTCCTTCTGGGACAGTTCTTCCAAATGAGAACTGTATCCCTCCCACTGCACCCTATGAGCACAGTGTTCTAAGATCACACATCGCTGCCTTGCTTCCCCTGGGTCTGAGGGAGTCTGGGGGCTTGGGAGTGGGAGCAGGAGTGTTTCCCTGGCCCTCCCCCATGGTCTGTGTGTTGTCTGCTCCCCCGCCCCACTCCACCCCCACCTCAGCCTTACCGAGCAGCAGAGACACCTCCTTCAGCAGCAAGAGCAGCAGCTCCAGCAACTCCAGCAGCTCCTGGCCTCCCCGCAGCTGACCCCGGTAATGCCCCTCCCTTCCCTGCCTCAGGGGCCCCTTGGTCTGCCTGGAAGGGCTCATCTCAGAGGATCAGGGCCAGCCAGGAGAGGGCAGGAGCAGAGAGAGGTGGGGAAAGCTCCAGGCTGGGCCTGTGAGACTGGGGTTGGGCCCTGTGGAGCATCCATGGGAGGAAGGGGGATAAGATCACGCCCAGGGTCCCCTGGGCATTGAGAAAGGGCTGCTGTAATAGCCCCAGGTCCGCATCCTGGTGAGAGACTCTGGAGGGCAGGAAGTCCTCAGTTATTGAGCATTTCAGTCCCAGCCCCAAAGACATTCAGGGGAAACTCCAGGGTCTAAGTGGCTGAGCAGGTGACACCACCCTCAACCATAGTATCTTCTTTGGGTCTGTCTTCTGTTGGGTCAGCTGAAACTACCTTTGGAGAAAAGGGGTTTTACTTTTTAAAAATGAGGGAAGCAGCCGGGCGTGGTGGCTCACGTCTGTAATCCAAGCACGGGAGACTGAGGCAGGCAGATCACTTGAGCTCAGGAGTTTGAGATCAGCCTGGGCAACTTGGCGAAACTGCATCTCTACAAAAAATTAACTGGGTGTGGTGGTACACGCCTGTAGTCCCAGCTACTCAGGAGGCTGAGGCAGGAGAATCGCTTGAACCTGGGAGATGGAGGCTGCAGTAAGCTGAGATGGCGCCAATATACTCCAGCGTGGGTGACAGAATGAGACCCTGTCTCAAAAACAAAACAGGGAGTTGAAAAAATAAGAAAAATAAACATTTTCATATAAAGAAACATTAGACAGGAAACCAGTTCAACTGGCTGCCTGTAGGGACCAGATGGGAGCAGGAGGAGTAAGTTCTTAAGGTAAACTTTGATATATTATTTTGGTTTTTGGGACATTAAGAATGCTTTGCCTATTCAAAGCAAAAATAAATGAATCTTAAACGATAGAAGCAAACAAAACAAAAGAGAAAGGGAATTGAAAACTTTTTTTTTTTTTTTTGAGACAGAGTTTCACTCTTGTTGCCCAGGCTGGAGTACAATGGTACGATCTCGGCTCACTGCAGCCTCCGCCTCGTGGGTTCAAGAGATTCACCTCAGCCTCCCGAGTAGCTGGGATTACAGGCGCATGCCACCAAGCCCAGCTAATTTTTGTATATTTAGTAGAGACGGGGTTTCACCATGTTGGCCAGGCTGATCTCAAACTCCTGACCTCAAGTGATCCACCAGCCTCAGCCTCCCAAAGTGCTGGGATTACAGGCGTGAGCCACAGTGTCCAGTGAATTGAAAACTATTGACCTAGTCAATAGTTTGGCAAAACCCCGTCTCTACTAAAAATACAAAAATTAGCCAGATCTGGTGGCAGGCCTCTGTAATCCGGCTACCTGGGAGGCTGAGGCAGGAGAATCGCTTCAACCCAGGAGGGGGTGGTTGCAGTGAGCCAATATCGCACCACTGTACTCCAGCCTGGGTGACAGAGCAAGACTCCGTCTAAAAAAAAAAAAGAAAACTATTGACCCAATTTCGTGTTTTTCAACTTGGGGGCGTCTGTGGTTGTCTTAGGAGCTGAGGGGTGATTCTGTGGGCAGGGCCAGAGACGTTAAATACCCTGTTGTTGGCTGGCAGTGCTGCAGCTGACAAATGCCAATGGCATGCAACCATTTTCTTGTCTAGATGGGGAGACCGAGGCTAAGTGGGAAATGCGAGACAGTACCTTGACTGTCTCTCAGGCCTCTTGCCTCCTGGTTCCAGTGTGATGGGGTGCGGCCCAGCCAGGTAGGGCAGGCAGGCAGCAGGTTAGAGACCCCCAGGACTGTTGGCAAACAAGCAGTCTGGCCCCCTTGCAGGAACACCAGACTGTTGTCTACCAGATGATCCAGCAGATCCAGCAGAAACGGGAGCTGCAGCGCCTGCAGATGGCTGGGGGCTCCCAGCTGCCCATGGCCAGCCTGCTGGCAGGAAGCTCCACCCCGCTGCTGTCTGCGGGCACCCCTGGCCTGCTGCCCACGGCGTCCGCTCCACCCCTGCTGCCCGCTGGAGCCCTAGTGGCTCCCTCGCTTGGCAACAACACAAGTCTCATGGCTGCAGCAGTGGCAGCAGCAGGCGGACCTCCAGTCCTCACTGCCCAGACCAACCCCTTCCTCAGCCTGTCAGGAGCAGACGGCAGTGGCGGTGGCCCCAAAGGAGGGGTGAGTAAGGGGCCCGGGGCCTTTCTGCCTCCTCTCTGAGGGATGGGTAGAGATGGATTGTCAGAAGGCTTATCAGGTGCCTCAGCAGGGGGAAGGAAGCAACCGCTAGGTCAGCGAAGTGCCCAGCCTCAGACCCCAGGGCCTCTGCTTGCACATGGGTGCCCTCCTGCAGGGCCAAGAGAGATCCAATCTGAGCATGGGCTCAGAGGAAAAGGACCAATTAGGAAACAGCCTTCCTCCAGGAGGACCAATTAGAAAAAGCCATTTTGTTTCTGAGCAGACCAATTAGAAAAAGATGACCCTCTGGGTAGGCCAATGTCAGAAAGGCCCTCTCTCCCCCTCCTGAGGGCACACAGCCTTAGCTGGCACATGCCTCGGCTGCCCGGTGCTCTTCTGCAGGATGGTTTCACACCCCTGCGCATCAGCCCTGGCGTGCACCCCTCAGAGCCCAGTCCAGAGGCTTCCATTGGCCCCGGTTCAGCACCCCACAGCAGCTTTCTTGGCCCAGGAAGCTGTTCTTATCTAGGGGTTAGGACCTGACACTTTCCGCACCCCCGGCCTCCCTCCTTCTCTTTCCAGACCGCTGACAAAGGAGCTTCAGTCAACCAGGAAAAAGGCTAAATCCACCCTCACCCCTCCTGACCCCCCAAGTGGAGGGAGCAGATCCTGGCCTGTGGGGTCCTAGCCTGGAGCAGGCGCCTGCGCCCAGTCCCTGGAGAGCCCTGACCCAGAGCCTGTGCTGAGGTCCAGGGAGTGTGGGGAGCTCCTGGTGCCAAGGACTGAGACTGAGAGGGGAGCCCCTTCCATCTGGCCCTCTTCCCTTTCCACACTGTCCGCTTTGTGAGGCTCAGAGGAAGGACAGACTGCAAGCCTGCCTAGGAGCTCCACCCCCAGCAAATATTTTGGAGGTCCCCCCCTCCCCAGAGCAGAGTGGGCCATGGCAGAAGTAGGGGGTTGGTTGGACCTGTCACATGAAATGGATCAGCACTTGAATGGGGAGAAGTGGAGGGAGAGGCCATGGGCCTGTCCCTGCGGGAAAATCTTTTATGGAAGAAGGGCTGGACCCACTTTACCTGCAGTTTCTTCCCAGCTCGGGCAGATGGCAGAAGGGACCCCTTGGACTTTTTCTCGCCATCCCTCCCCCAAGTGCAGGGGCACAAGCTGAGCTTGTAAAAGCCCACAGATGTCGGGGGCTGGAGAAGGGGCAGGAGAGCATCACACTCAGTCCCAGCTGCCTCAGTCTCTTGGGCCCCCGTGATGGGGAGGAGAGGGCAGGTGCGGGGAGGCTCCAGCCTTCCTTGGTGCCCCGCCCTTTGTTTGCACTATTGGACTTAGGAGTGCCGAGGGTGGGGAGATGGAGCTGCCCGACTCAGTGTGTGAGAGTGTGTGTGTGTGTGTGTGTGTGTATGTGTGTGTATGTGTGTGTGTCTGTCTGCCTGTCTCTCACCCCTGGACCCAGGGCAGCCAAGGGTAGGGATAGGCGCAGTGGTCAGATGAAGCAGCGCCAGAGAGGGGACCTCCCGGCTCTTATTTGCACCCTCCCCACCTCACCACCTTTGCTCCCTCTCTGGAGGCATGAGTGGTTAACAAAAACCAGAGTAGTACTCCAATATTGGAGAGTCACTGGGGGCTCGGGCCTTTGAATCAGGGTAATATCCTGCCTTCCCTCCCCCATGGTCTCAGGGCCCCCTTAGGGCCCCCTACCCCACTGATAGCTTCGTCCTTCTCTGGCACAAGGGGAGCCCCAGGGCTTGGGGGAGGGGGTAAGGTGGAGGGAAATGCCACTGCTTTTAGCAAAAGCCTCCCTTCCAGAATTAGCCAGCCTGCCTCCTGCACCCCACCCCCACCAACCAGGGGAGCCACTAAGCTGATGTAACAACTGTCCCCTACCCACCAGCTATTTCCCCAGGGTAGAGTGGGCAATTCTTACCTTCAAAGAGTCCCCGCCTGCCCAGGCCTTTGGCCCAGAGGCTGAGTGGACGGTCAGGAGAGAGGCAAGAGGCAAGGCGAAGCCTGTGTCCCTGTTTCAGTTGCACTGGGGTTGGAGCCCAGGGTAGGGGTTTCCAGCTTCCCCAGGCTCCCGCCTTGTCAGTCTCTTTGCATGTGTGGATTTTTCTGTGTGTGTTTGTTTGGGTTTTTGTTGTTGGGTTTTTTTTTCTTTTTCTTTTTTTTTAATAAAGAAAAGAAGATGTGTATATTTTTGGCAACAACAGAAACGTAGTGCAGATATATTTTTGCCTGTGCTGCTCAACTGTTTTTTTTCTGATACTGAAAATAATATTAATATTCCTGTTGATAAGACTTTGTAAGATGTTAGGGAGCTGATAATGGAGGGGGTGGGAATCCTTCAAAGGCAATTTCTTAGGCACTTGCAAGGGCTTGGGGGAGGGAGAGGCAGTTGTGATGACCTCAGAAATACTCACTTTTTATTAATGCTAAATATGTTAGAAGTGATAGAATTCAGCATTTTATTCATCTTAATCTATTAAGCTGTGTAACTCCCTGCCCCAAACCACTGAAAAGAAAAGTAACCTTCAGGCCAGGCCCGGTGGCTCATGCCTGTAATCCGAACACTTTGGGAGGCTGAGGCGGGCGGATCACCTAAGGTCAGGAGTTCAAGACCAGCCTGGCCAGGCCAACATGGTGACACCCCGTCTCTACTAAAAATACAAAGAAATTAGCTGGGTGTGGTGGCACACACCTGTAATCCCAGCTACTCGGGAGGCTGAGGCATGAGAATTGCTTGAACCCGGGAGGCTGAGGCTGCAGTGAGCTGAGATCATGTCACTGCACTCCAGCCTGGGCGACACTGTCTCAAAAAAGAAAAAAAAGAAAAGTAACCTTCAGAGATTCTTAGAAGAGTTGCTCATTCACACCCACGCCCTTGCCCAAGGCTGACCCACTTAGAGCGAAACTTCTGTCTGGATGGGAAGGGAAGAAAATCTACCCCGAGGCTGCCATGTTGAAGAGTGAGAGGTCCTAGTGATTCTGTGCATTGAAACCAAGATACCCCACCCCCGTCCAATACTTCTTCCCTCCCTCAGCTCATCTCCAAGTGTCTGTTCTCCAACTCTCCCAAGCCGCCTGCATTCCCCAGACTGGGCTACTGTGGTTAGATTTGAAGACAGGGCCCAGGCTGGGTATGAATTGATGCAGCCCTCTTCTCTTTCCCCCGTCTCTCATGAGAGAGGTAGTGGCATTTCCTTCTTCTCAGGGAGCTTCAACGGGAAAGGTCTCGAAAGCTTCAGGAGGAGCAGAATACCAATGCAGGGGGATGGCTGTAACGATCTCACCCTCTCCTAACCTCAGTCCCTTTTACGAGAGTGAATTTGGGTGGTGGAGGGTGGGAAGGGACCCAAATTTGTAGATCTCTTTGTCTGGGGGAGGGGAAGGATGTGGTTTGCAGAGCGGAAGCAGAGTTTGGAAACGCATGAGAGCAGAGCTTCGTGTGTTCCCACCCTCAGTGAGGAGGTGTGAGTGGGTGAGCATGTGGAGTCGGGTGTTCCCACCCTCGGTGAGGAGGTGTGAGTGGGGGTGCATACGGAGGCAGTGCCTGCTGTGGGGTCACAACTGGTGCATGCCAGCACTGAAGGGACCTGTCTTTAGGGGTCATTTCAGCCAGCCCCTCCCATCACAGATGACAGCTCCAAGCCTAGAAGGGGCTCAGTGACAGGGCCAGGACCAGCCCTCAGGACTGTGGCCTCCTGGCCCTTGGTTCCCAGGGCATGGTCTCCACATGGCTGCCTGGCTTGCTGTCCCTGTGTGTGTGACACACAGCGTGAGTGCAGGGCTGTGCCTGGGGTGGGAGGGTGTCTATGTGGCACTGACTGTCTTAGCTCAGAGCTAGTGGATCCTCTCCATGGACAGTGACACTTTAAGGATTGTCTTGGTTTGTTTTTCCTATTTGTGGGGCTTTTTTCCCCTCAGGCTCCTGGGTCTGCGCTGCCTCAAGGTGTCCTGACCTTGAGGCTGATGAGGGGACCCCTGCCCATTCCCCCCATACTGAGTTCTAGGGAGGTGCTCACCCCAGACTCTCAGGAAGGGTCTAGAGAAATGAGAGGAGCCCAAGCTAGGGGCCAGCTCTGAGAAAGGGTAACCTCCACGCTTCTCTTTCCCAAATTGGAAATGAAGACAGGTTTTCAAAGGCACAGGCTTCCCCTGCCACCTTCTAGGATCTTCCTTGGTGTGCAGTGGGCCAGTTAGGGGTAGGCAGCTTGCACCCAGTTCTCCTTTATCTCAACTTATTTTCCTGGGGAGAGGGGCCTAGAGGGATTGAGGTAACTTCAACTGGGAATTCTGAGGAAGGTGGGCAAGTAGCCTTGGCTCTCTCCTGCCATGGTGACCCAGATTGAGAGCGTGTCTAGCTCCCGACCACTTTGTCTTGACCTACTGAAAAGTTGGGAACTGAGGGGTGCCTTCATTCCCCTTTGTTCACTTTCTCCAGCTCAACTTGGGACTGGGGTGGTGGGACTGGAGACCCCACCCCTGCTCCCATCCCGCCCCCTTTCTATCCCAGCCTGTTTCCATGTAGCAGACCCTTCCTAAGGAGCAGGGAGGGGAAGCCACAGACTGCAAACCCAGGGGCTCCTTTTTCATTCTTTCTAAAACCTTGATATCCTCAGCCCAAAGGCGATGCCCCTTGCCACCTCCAAGCCTGAAATTGTGCATAACCCGGATCTTGTATCTTTGTATAACGGATGTTATTTGTACGAAGGGCAGTTCGTAAACAGCACTTGTTCTTTTAATAAAAGAATGTTTTGCAAAAAAAAAAAAAAAAAAAAATCCAAAGAGTCCGTGCGTGGTCTGGCTTTATGGAAAGGGACAGGAGGTGGGTGCCAACTGCGGGAGGGTAGGAGGGCGTGGGCTGCGGCCCTTCTGTCGGCACTCAGCGGCAGAGCGCGCACAGACGCGAATGCTCAGCACACCCGGGCCCAGCCCGCAGGGTGCATCAATCCGTGGGCACCGGCCGTCGGGACCCTGACCCGTCCCGAGGTGACGCGACGCCCGCGTACTCGCTCCCAGAAGCGCGGCTGAGGCTCGGCCAGCAACAGTGAATCCTGGGAAGGTCCCGTGCCCTCGCGGGTGCCCCAGACGCTGAGGCTGTGCGCGGGGCGTTCCGCCGCCAGACCCGCCCGGCAGGGGGCGCCAGGGCCGACCGCTCACGCCCGGCGCGCCGAGGAGGCCGCTGGGCGGGCCCCGCGGCCAGGCTTCCGGACCCCGTCGGCCCCTGGCCTTAGCCCTCGCAGAACGCTGCGGCGTCTTCCGGGGCCTGGCGGGCCGGGGACCGAGGGGGCGGGGAGGTGACCCGGCCGGGGCGGAGCCGGCGCGGGCGGGGGCACAGGCGCGGCCAGAAGGCGGCCATGCGCTGCGTGGGGGCGATCTTGCGGCCGGCGGCGCACGGCGCCTGGGTGAGCACCCCCGCCCCGACCCGGCCCCTGCCCCGAACCCCACCAGGGCCCCTGCCAGCCCCCACTTCAGCCCCGGCCCCGACCGAGCATCCCCGAGCCTCCGGCCCGCCCCGCCGGTGTCTGGCTTGCCTCAGCTCACAGGCTTTTCCCTAGTGCCAGTTCCTCCCCAGCCAGCACCTTCTCTTGCGACCTTTTTCTTACCCTCTCATTCCTCCCTCGCCCCTTCAACCCTGTCACCTCCTCCTTCCCAGATGGCCTCCCATATCCTTCCCTTTCCACTGATTTTATTTTTCCGTTTCCCAATCACTGTCTTGTGGTGCTTGCCATGCTTTTGTACTTTGCAGGACCTGAACCCGCGGCGGGACATCTCCTCCTGGCTGGTAAGTCCCCCCATCCTCCCCCGCGTCCTCACACAAGACCCCCAGGCACAGAGATCTAAAAGGCAGAGACGAGGTATGGAGCTAGGAAGGGTACAGCCCTATTTCCCCAGACTCCCGGCACCTGGAGTTAGCCTGTGGCTCTCAGGGAGGTGGGGCGGACCAGAGGGCACTGGGCAGGGCGCCAGTCTTCTGTTCTGAGGACAGCAGCACCTAATGAACCAAGCCCGGTGTGGGTGGCCCTGCCACAGGCTGGAAGGATCCCGGCCCGCCCTCCCTAACACCCAGGTGGGAGCCAGCCTTTGAGGGAAGGCAGCTGGACCGTGAAACCTGAGCGCCTGCATGGCTTTGAAATCTCTTCACTATCCAAAGCTCACGGTCCTTATGGTGTCCTGGGAAACGGTCTTGTTGGGTGGCATCAGATCAGCCTCTTGTAGAGGAAACCTGCCACACACACAGGCCAATGGGAAACTGGGAAAGGTCGCAGGCAGGAAGGTGCTTCCAGGGCTTGAGCTAACCCTGAGCCCCTCATCTTCCCTGGCCACAGGCCCGGTGGTTCCCTAGAACCCCAGCCAGGTCTGTGGTGGCCCTGAAGACCCCCATCAAAGTGGAGCTGGTGGCAGGGAAAACCTACAGGTGGTGTGTGTGTGGCCGCAGCAAGAAGCAGGTGAGACACCTACCTGCCTTCCTACTGATACCTCCATCTGGGAACAGCCTGGTGTCTCCAGTGAGTTCCCACCCAGATGATTTTAGTCTTCCCATACATACCTGAGGGACACCAAGGGGATTTGGGGACAAAAGGCCAGTGCCACCAGCAACCTTAAGCTCACTGCATCTATCTCTTGCAATGAAGCCAGAGAGACAGAAACTCAGTCACGCAGCCAGTCTGATGTGGCTGGGCTTCCAGTGGGCTCTTCTGGAGCTGTTTGCTTCTCAGAGGTGCACTGCATGACGAAGCTCACCTGGCCCTTCCCTGTCTCCTTCCAGGAAGCACCTGGGCCATAGATTCCCAGGCCTTGAACCCTGAAAGCCTACAGCACGTGGTATTTCCTGCTGGTCTTCCATCCAAGTACTAACCAGGCCTGACCCTGCTTAGCTTCCGAGATCAGATGAGATTGGGCACGTTCAGGGTGGTGTGGCCATAGACACATTGGGAAGAGATTCTGCTCAGGCTCTCCTGCCTCCAAAGCCTCCCAGCCTTCCCCTGTGCCGCTCTCCACTCTTCTTCCAGAAAACTCTTCCTTCTCAGTTTATGGGACGTCCTGGCCGCCTGCCACAGTTTGCTGTCTTCTCAGCTTCGCTGTCTGCCCCACCTGCTTCCCCTTCTGCCCACGAACCTTTCATCCCAGCAGGAACCTGCCCATATTGTTTGCCTCCCTGGCCCCTTTCCTTCCTGGGCAGAGCTCTGACTGGTGTTCCTTCAAGCTGTGTGGCATGGTGTCAGCAGCCCAGGGTCCCTGAGTCCCACTTAGGTCCACACACCTCAAGCCCTCTAAGACAAGTTGCTGGTTTCTATTTGCACGCTTCTTTCACCTCTCTTCCATCCCACCCTAACTCCAATGTCAAGAGGCCTTGGTTCACAGGCGAGGTGGCTCACCTGTAATCCCAGCACTTTGGGAGGCCAAGACAGGAGGATCTTTTGAGCCCAGGAGTTCAAGAACAGTCTGGGCAACAAAGTTGAGACCCCGCTTCTACAAATGCCTCTACCCCTACCAAAAACTAGCATGGAGTTGGGCCTGTGTTCCCAGCCGTAATGGAGGCTGAGGAAGGAGGACCACTTGAGCCCAGGAAGTTGAGGCTACAGTGAGCCGTGTTTGCATCACTGCACTCCAGCCTGGGCAACAGAGTGAGACCCTGTCCAAAAAAAAAAAAAAAAAAAAAAAAAAAAAAGGCCTTAGCACCAGTTCTGCCTTCAACTAACAAGGCATGTCACCTCTCTGGGCCTGTTTCCATTACCAGTCTCTGCTCAAGCAGCTTCTGGGATGGGGAGTACACTTCTGTGCCGGTCAGCCAGTTTGCTATGGGCATCCCCTCCTCCCGGTAACCTTCACTCCGTGTCACATGCGCAGTTATTCCCTAGAGCCAAACAAAATTGCTACCACAGGGTACTCTCCAGCCCAAAGAAGTTTTAACCCGGGAACATGGGAAGGAAATGAATTTCATGATCCAGTGGAGACTCAGAGCCATTCACACACACACACACACACACACATCTATTAGTGTCCTGGCTCTCTGGGTGTCCCAGAGACTAACGCTATAAAGCCGCTGTAAATACTTCCCAGACACTTACTATAGGCAAAGCATACCATGATCATTATTTTATTTCCTCATACAACTCTACTCTTATCACCCCCACATTACAGATGAGAGAGGTCACTCAGTGAGCCCCGGCAGTCTCACGCTGGAGCCTGAACCCTAACCACTGTGCTGCACTCCCCCTGAGCTCCTGCGGAGTGCCCTGCCCCGCCCCACCCCAGCAGGTGGGGTCAGGTCTTTGACTCCTGTCTTTCCTCCACCAGCCCTTCTGTGACGGCTCCCACTTCTTCCAACGCACTGGCCTATCTCCCCTCAAGTTCAAGGCCCAAGAGACCCGCACGGTGGCACTCTGTACCTGCAAGGCCACTCAGAGGCCCCCGTACTGCGATGGCACCCACAGGAGTGAGCGCGTGCAGAAGGCAGAAGTGGGCTCCCCACTCTGAGGGGGCTGCTGCTGTCCAGCCACAGGTGGCCTTGGCTCCTGGCCTCTGACAGGCACCCCCTTCTGTGGGAAAGGAAACAGGTGCTGAGCCCAAGAAAGAGATTGTGGTACCCACAGCTGGCTCATGAAGGAAGAATTCTTCCCTATAACCTAAAAGTCTCCAGTCTGGGGCAGGCGGGAGTGGGCCCTGGTTCAATGTTTGCTGATGGGGAAGATGGCAAAAACAAGCCGCCCAACTAGACTGGTGGTCCTGTAGTCATTGCTATGAGGCCCACGTGCTGCCTGCTACTCCAGATTTCCACCTGTCTGTGGGCTGGGGGCTCCTGACCAGTCGCCACAGCAGAGGGCAGTTCATATTCATTAAGTATGGGGTCCCCAAATCAGGCTGAACCCAGAGATGAGAGGCACCCTTCCCTTCTTCCCTCTACCCCAAAGAACTACAGCCTTCAGAAAGTATGCAGCATTTATTACAAAGCCAAGAGATACAGATGTCCCAGGGCAGAGGAGGGTACAGTCACAGGACCTCAGACACAGGACAAGGTGTAAATACAGACAAGCCCATCAGGGGACTCCCAACCCCACACACCTAGGCTGTGATGGAATCTTGAGTCTCGATTCCCGTCTCCTCCCAGATCTATGCACACGTGAGGAAATCTCGGTGGGCAGGGACCTGCCAGGGTCTGTCCCTAAGGAGGTGGTCTGCTGACCTCTCAAGGGGTGGGGGTGGGGTCAGAGCTTACAGGTTTCTGCCTTCTTGTGCTTTTAGATGCAGTTGCTCTGTCCTGACCAGGTGACCAGGCCTCAGCTGGGGGTGGAGGGGCAACTGGAAGGCTGTTTGCCTTTGGCAAAGTCTGGGGTCTGTGCTTGTGTGAGGTTAACCCACCCCAACTTCCACTCTAGACCCCAGGTGAGACTCCACCACCAGTCCTGCTAGTGAGGGTTCCCGGGTGAGGGTAGGGTCGGTGGGGGTGCAGTGCTTCACAATGCTAAAGCCACAGTGGAACTCCAAGGGCTGAGACCTCTCAGGGCCTGAATCTTCTTTTCCACAAGATAAATGATGCAAAGGTCACACACACAGGGAAAAAAAAAAAAAAAAAAGAGGCAGAACTATGTATTCTTTGCACAAAGTTTCCACTGCAAGAGTAGGAGGTGATGCAGGTGCCACCTCCACCCCGCACTTGCTCCTCAGAACCAGGGATAAACTGCATTTGTAAAAGGCACTGTTCTTAGCAATTTCTGGACATTCAACAATGCGGGGGGCAGCCACTGGTCAGAGGCAGGACAGCAGCCAAGATGGGGAGAGAAACGGGGAAAGAAACAATTCTAACTGACTCCTATATGCAGCCAGTTGGAATCGTGCCTAAAGCTTTGGGGCTGAAGGGGTCCCAACACACCATCTGCCTTGGGAAACAGCGAAGACCGTGCAGAGCTTCACTGAGCCTCCAGCGGCCCATCCAGTTCATCTCCAGGTACCCCCAAAAAGAGCAAATTACACAAGACCCCCCAAAAATGAACACCATTTTCCACACATACACACACACACATAAAGTTTGTTTCCTGTGGCATTTAAATTAATCTGGTTGGTCCATAGAAAATAAGTATGTATATTTGGTTTTTCCTATGTACATATATATATAGATTTATTTATAAAACCCGCCCCCCACCCCCAAGGTGGGAAGAGCTGGGGAAAGTAGAAGAGGTGGAAAAAAGGGCCCAGAAAAAGTGGAAGGAGTGGAGAGGCTTGGCTGGAAGAAGGGAGAGGGTCCCTGGCCTCAAGTTAAGGGGGGCACAGGAGCGCCGTTGACAGTCATCTTGCGCCCTCTGCTGGTGGAGGATGGTGTCTGCAGGCAGTTCGAGGTACCCCCGTTGGCAGCTGTGGTGGCCCCACTGGCTGTCGAAGGGGGAGTGGGGGAGGTAGGGTGGGTGGCTGGAGGCCCATGGGAGCTGGGAGAGCCATGGGATGGGGTGGCTGGGCTGGGCAGGGAGGAGGAGGTGGCTGGCAGGGTGGCAGGGCTGGGAGCCTTGTCGCTGACTGACTCACACTCGGATGCCCCGCTGGTGTTGGTGCCCTCGGAGGGAGTGGGCACCGTGGCCAGGGTGAGCCGCTTGCAGGCTGGCTGGACACGGTACTTGAGAGGAAGAGGCCCGTTCTGTGGGGAGAGGGGGCGAGGAGAGAGACAGGGAAGGGGAAGGTATCAGGAGAGAGAGGCCAACTAGAGGGCCACCAGCTTTAACCCACAATGTCCAAACACGAAAAAAAGGATGGGATGGGGTCTTGGAGAGGAGAGAGACAAGGATACAGGGCACATGAAGACCCAGAGAGGCAAAAGGTCTAAGCAGAGACTCTGTCAGAGAGGAGAGAGGGAGGCAAACACACGGCAGCTGCCAGCACCTATTTCTGCCCCCAAATCGGGGAATGCCATCTGCCCAAGGAGCCTTGTCTCCTGAGTGGAAAGTCATCCGCAAGAGATGGCCCAGAGGCTGACCTGCTGTAGCAAGCCACCCTGGACACACAGCTCATGGGACAAGGGATGGACTGTCTCTGATTAGAGAAGGGTGACCCATGTGGCCACAGACCAATGCCAGACCCTGCGGGAGTCTGCTCCCTGCCTGCCCCACCCGCTGGCTCACCCGCCGCCAGGGGTAGATGTAGGCGATGTCCATGAGGGTGTAGTATTCCTTCAGTGGCTCGTCCTCGTACAGAACCTCCACCTGGGGGAGGGAAGCGGAAGACACCATGGCCCTGGCTAGCTCGGGGCTCCAGGCTGCCAATGTGGGGGACTGGGAGGCGGGGCAATGGGAAGGGTGGATTTGCAGATGGTCCCTCATTTCTCTGGGGTTTCACTGTGGATTTGACTTCCCTGTCAGAGTTGTTCCAACATAACTCCTGACCACCAGGCAGGAAGGGGTCCAGAGAAGACTCCCCTATTGTTAGCAGCCCCCAGTCCCACCATGCACACAGCTGTCTGGATCTCCTATCTCTGGCAGGTCTCCCAGAGGAGCTGAAAGGCTCAGGGGGATCTCCTGGAACTCTGGCTCTCACTCCCAGCTGCAAAATGGAATCACCCAGGGAGCTTTAAAAAACACCAATGCCGGCTGGGTGCGGTGGCTCAGGCCTGTAATCCCAGCACTTTGGGAGGCCAAGGCGGGTGGATCACGAGGTCAGAAGATCGAGACCATCCTGGCTAACATGGTGAAACCCCGTCTCTACTAAAAATACGAAGAATTAGCCGGGCGTGGTGGCAGGCGCCTGTAGTCCCAGCTACTCCTGAGGCTGAGGCAGGAGAATGGCGCGAACCCGGGAGGTGGAGCTTGCAGTGAGCCGAGATTGCTCCACTGCACTCCAGCCTGGGTGACAGAGCAAGGTTCCGTCTTGTCTCAAAAAACAACAACAACAACAACAACAACAAAACACCAATGCCTAGGCCGGGTGTGGTGGCTCACACCTGTAATCCCAGAGCTTTGGGAGGCCAAGACGGACAGATCACCAGAGGTCAGGAGTTCAAGACCAGCCTGACCAACATGGAGAAACCCGGTCTCTACTAAAAATACAGAATTAGCTGGGTATGGTGCCGCATGCCTGTATCCCAGCTACTCGGGAGGCTGAGGCGGGAGAATCGCTTGAACCTGGGGCGGTCAGAGGTTGCGGTGAGCCAAGATCCTGCCATTGCACTCCAGCCTGGGCAACAAGAGCAAGACTCTGTCTCAAAAAAAAAAAAAGAAAACAACAAAAAAACACCAATGCCTGGCTAGGTGCAGTGGCTCACACCTGTAACCCCAGAGCTTTGGGAGGCTGAAGCGGGTGGGTCACTTGAGGCCAGGAGTTGGAGACCAGACTGGCCAACATGGTGAAACCCTGTCTATACTAAAAATACAAAAATTAGCCAGGTGTGGTGGCATGTACCTGTAGTCCCAGCTACTTGGGAGGCTGAGGCACAAGAATCACTTTAAACCAGGAGGCGGAGGTTGCAGTGAGCCGAGATGATGCCACTGCACTCCAGCCTTGGTGACGGAGGGAAAAAAAAAAAAGCAAAAACAAGAAATCAATGCTTGCATCTTACCCCCAGAAATTCTGACTTAACTGGTAAGTTGTGAGTTAACTTGTGAGATTTAACAGGCAACAGTTTAGGATCCACTGTTCTAAAGTGTGATCTGTGGACCTTCAGTAGCTAGGAGCTTGTTAGAAATATGGAATCTGGCCGGGTGCCATGGCTCACGCCTGTAATCCCAGTACTTTGGGAGGCCGAGTGGGGTGAATCACGAGGTCAGGAGTTCAAGACCAGCCTGACCAACATGGTGAAACCCCGTCTCTACTAAAACTACAAAAACTAGCCAGGTGCGGTGGCAGGCACCTGTAATCCCACCTACTTGGGAGGCTGAGGCAGGAGAATCACTTGAACCCGGGAGGCGGAGGTTGCAGTGAGCCGAGATCGCTCCACTGCACTCTAGCCTGGTGACATAGCAAGACTCCATCTCAAAAAAAAAAAAAAAAGAAGGAATCTACTAAATCAGAATCTGCATTTTAACAAGATCTCCAGGGGACACATATACATTCAAGCTTGAAAAGTCATGTCCTGGAGCTCTGCTGGAATTTCAGACTAGCCTTTCCACAGCCAACTGGCCCCAGAGGAGGCCCTGCGTTTTTGCACTCATCTCTGCCACAGTTCCGAGTGTGCAACATGCACACATACACACCATCTTGGTCCCATGCACTACTGCACACTTACTTCAACACCCCCAGACTAACCCCTAATCTTGGTTTCAACCACCCTTCTATTAACATATGGGTTCAGTTAACCACGAAAGCCTTGGGTGACACCTAGCCAGCCCTGACCAATGGCTGGCATGCACACCCATATACAGACACTCATTATTTGAAAGGCCCAGGGACCCACCTTGTACTTGCTGGGCACATCCATCTTGTTGCGGAGAAACTTGGCGAGATGCATGACGGTCATGGCTGCTGGGCATCGCAGGAAGCGCACCCCTGTCTGTTGGGGCACAGGCACCCATGGTAAGGGATCCACCCCAGGCCACTCCCTCCCAGCCCACGTTCCAGTCCTGGGCAGGCCCCAGCACTCACTTTCTCTTTGTCCCCATCCCCATTCTCCAGGGGGCCCTTCTTCTCATCCCGGTCCCTGGGGATGGAGAAAGAATGACGCTAGGAAGAACCAGGAAGAACCAGGAGACCCAGGAGGATGGTCCCTCAATGGACACATCCAGAGGGCCCTGGGTGGGAGAAGGGGTGACCCAACCTAGGAGCCCAGAAGGGGCCAGCCTGGGCCGGACTTGCCTGGCACCTTCGTAGAATTCGATGGAGAGGCTGACAATCTCATCATCGCTCAGAGCCCCCTTCTCCTGCTCCAAGACCTCGCCGCGGTCCTCATTGGAGCCGTTGGGGACTGCAGAAGGAGAGAGCTCTTGGGTTGGTGGAGGATGGAAGAAGGGAGCCCGCCAAGGACCCAGGGATCATGAACTCGGCCAGGTGAGCCGGGCCACCTTCTGGGGAGGTGTGCGCCGAGGAGGTCAGAGGGTGACTGGTAACACTACACACCTACATGGTCCCAGGCACGCCCATGCACACACAAACAGATGCGAGCACACTCACCCTCTGTCAGGGGGTATGCTGCATAGAAATCCCGCCGCCGTTTCATCTCATCTGGAAGAAGGCAGCGGATGAGGACAGGGCCATGGGTTGGGAAATGGGGTCGGTGGGCAGGAGGAGGAATGGTGTGCAGATACCTTTAAAAAGCCCAGGGACCAATTTGTAGACAATGTCTTGAAGGGTTTTGTCAGACCTGAGGAAAAATGGACAGGGTGTATCAGCAATGCGCTCTCCAGAGAACTGCTCTGACCTCACCCTGCTCTCCCAGTCATGGGACCTCTCTACCCACTCCCTTTCTGAGACCCAGTGCCCAGGCATTGGGATCCCTGTGGGTCTGGTCTTTGACCCTCTAGTATGCCTCAGCCTATGACGAGCCAAATGCAACCCCAAGGGAGGGGAGTAGCCCAAGTCCACACGCCGTGCTTCTCCCACACCTGCCGCCTTGGCTGAAGGAAGCACAGAGTGTGGGAGGGATGGGGGAGGCTGACCCAGAGGGTGGCGGGGGCAGGAGTGCGGTGCCAAGCCTACCTGATGCTCAGCAGCGGCCGGGTTTTATGGACCTGCACATCACACATGGGGCAGTATTTGTTGGTCTCCAGGTAGCGCACGATGCAGGTTTTGCAGACTTGGGGGTGTGGAGAGAGGGAGGAGAGTCAGAGTCGCCTTCCAATCCCAGGACCAGCCTCCCCGCCCTCTGCTCAGACTCAGATATCTCTTCGCCTCCACCCTGTCCCTGCTCCGAGGCCCAACGTGGCAATGTGTGTTTTGCACGTGTGGCACCTATCCCTGTGCATTGTTGAGGGAAGCTGGATCTTGTGTGAGACAGGCCAGTGTCACGTACAACGCAGAAGGTCAGCCCTCAGTCCCAAGCTCCCCGATGGAGTGGAGGACAAAAGCCAGCCTGTTCAAGATGCCCCTGGGTCTCACCCCCTTGCTGCCAAGCCCACAGTACAAACAAGGGGTGTCTGCATCTTCAGGGCATACAATTTCAGTCATTTCAAGAAAGAGCTAAGATTTCAGATGCAAGTCCTTGAAATGAACTTCTGGGCCGATGCCCCACACCCAGTTGCCCCTGCAAGGTAGGCCCTCTGTGACTTGAGGATTCCCAGCAGACACGTGAGCACGCTGGCTCTTCAAGGCAAGGGTTTGTGTGCTACCTTCCTCAGGCCATGCCCACCCCAATCTGGGCACAGAGGCTGCCCACCCTGAGCAGCTCCCCTCCCCCCAACTCACAGGAATGCAGGCACTCCACGATAGTGGTGGCGTCAATGAAGTACCCCCCACAGAGGGCACACATGAGGTGGGGGTTCAGCTCTGTGATTTTGATCCGTGTAGTCCGATGCATGATTCCAGGGTCGGGGGTGGGGGGACTGGGGAGCGTTGCCCTGGGAAACAAAGTGGAATCAGAAACCCAGAGTTGGCCGGGCGTGGTGGCTCACACCTGTAATCCTAGCACTTTGGGAGGCCGAGGCAGGCAGATCACGAGGTCAGGAGATCAAGACCATCCTGGTTAACATGGTGAAACCTCGTCTCTACTAAAAACACAGAAAATTAGCCGGGGGTGCTGGCGGGCGCTTGTAGTCCCAGCTATTTGGGAGGCGGAGCTTGCAGTGAGCCGAGATTGAGCCACTGCACTCCAGCCTGGGCGACAGAGCGAGACTCCGTTTCAAAAAACAAAAAAAAAAGAAACCCAGAGCCTCGGCAGCCCCTCCCACACTTCACTCCACACCTCCCAGCACATCTCTCCCTGAGCCCAAGACCCTTCTCTGCCTTCAGGGTGGGCTGGGGGCGTACATGCGGCTGGTTCTTTCTGGCCCCCTCTGTGTGTTCATTGGGTGCCCAGGCTCTGGAGAGTCACACAGCCTTGAGCAACAAGATCAGGCTCCCTCTGGGGAACAGGAGGAAAGATTGAAGTTAGGCCACAGGATGTACTGCCCAACTCCTCAGAGAATGTGAGGAGGCAGGAAAATGGAAGAGAAGAGGGCTTTTTAAACTCTCTCCTATCCCAGGCCGGGTGCAGTGGCTCATGTCTGTAATCCCAGCATTTTGGGAGGCCACAGCAGGAGGATCCTCCTGCCTCACGTGATCCCTTGAGCCTGAGTGGTTGAGGCTGCAGTGAGCCGTGATTATGCCACTGCACTCAAGCCTGGGCGACAGAGCGAGACTCTGTCTAAAAAAGAAAAACAAAAACAAAACTCCCCAATCCCAATCCGTATTCACTCACATGGTCCACATTTAAAGCATCCTAGGAACTAGGAGGAAACTCAGATAAATCAGTCACTGGCCTGAAACTTCAAGGAACAGAAGAAGGGAAAAATAAGTTATCCTCACTCCCTCAACCCCTCCACCCAGGTGCAGGGCTTCAGACTTGATCCCAGCCTCCTATCTACTCCATCCATTCACTCCTCCTCCAAGAAGGCTTCCCTGGAAACACCATGGGCACAGGCTACCCTAAGTTAGAAGGCCACAGCCATCACTTGTGCTTCTGGCTCCGCATCCAGCCTAGGTTTTGGGGCACCTCCCTCCTCTAAAGTCTGCCAAATATAGGCTGCTCCCAGAGCATCCACCATACGCTGACCATTTGGCTTCCAGGCCTGGGACTCAGGCAGGGAACAGAGAGGGTCCTTACATGCCTGAAGCTGGGAATGCACAGCTCCAGCCCTAGCCCTGGACTCAAAGAGTTTAGGCAAAAAGGCTATACCCCTGCCACAGGAATCCTTCCCAGTGCCCCTGATGGACAGCCCCCTGCATGAGTGCTCCCTGCCCACAAGCACACAGGGTCCAGGAACCCCCCTTTCATGCACACTGCAGGAATTCCCCCCACATGGTCACTGTTACTCTCCCGCTGTCTCCTGCCCTGGTGACGCCTCTGCCACCTGTTCACAGGCTGTCCAGTGACAAACCACAGGCTCTCACAGATGCCTGCCAAAGCTGGGCAGAAAGTGCTCTGTGCCCAGACCGCCTGCCCGACACCAGCCAGGCCCAGGCAGGGTCCGGAGAGGTGAAAAGTCCAGCTCTGGATTGGCCACTGTGCTTCCTTCTTGGTAAAGAAATCAAACCAAACCTGCACCTGGAAGGGACAGCCCCTCCCTCCTCTTTCCCAGAGTAAAAGCCCAAGGGTGGGGCTTGGGAAGAGGCCAAGCCCCAACAGCTCCTTTACAACATACGCACACCCTTCTCTCCTTTCCAGAAAGATTTCTAAAGCCACCACACTGAGTTTTCTAGGACAAGAAATTCACAGCCGGGATCAGCAGTTTCTATAGAGACCCCAGGATGAGTCTGGCCAGGACCCAGCCAGCCAACAGAGGCTCAGGGAACCTGGCCAGAGACAGAAAGAGATGCAGAGACACAAAGGCCACACGTGGGAGAGACACCAGGTTACAGGGCAGACAGAGGGGAACAAGCCAGTCCCACGGCAAGCCCAGAGACAGTCCCATGGCAAGCCCAGAGACAGTCCCACGGCAAGCCCAGAGACACAGCAGAGAGGATGCGGCTCCAGGGATCTGAGAAGGGAGAGGGGTTCCCACCCCACGCAGAGTGGCCTCGGCCAGCCCTCCCTGCATGGGTCCCCCCTTTGCAATTACGCAGAAAGCTGCTGGCTACTCCACTGTTTGGTCGTTTCCATAGTAACCCTGTCCCTGGCAAGATGCCCAAATATTATTACAACCATCCAGAGGAGAGAACAATCCAAGTGGCTGTCTCTCTGTGCGTGTGTAATATCCATCATGTGTACGTGCCATCTGGGCCTCCAAAGAAAGGTACTTCCTGTGCCTGCCTGTCAGTCATGTGTGTGTCCAGATGCATCTATGTGTGTGTGCAGAGCCACCAACAAACATGCTGGTGCTGAGCTCTGATAACGCCTGGGGTCTCTGTTGCTGGGGTAAATCGCATGCCCTCATCTTTCTCCCGTTCACCCTCATATACATGTGCACGCGTACACACACATACACGTAAACACATAGGCTCCGCACACTTCACACCGCCCAAGCCACCTCATTCACACACTCGCTGTATTTTCAGAACAGACACTTGCTCTTTTTTTTTTTTTTTTTGAGACAGTCTTGCTCCGTTGCCCAGGCTGAAGTACAGTGGTGCGATCTTGGCTCACTGCAGCCTTTACTTCCCGGGTTCAAGTGATTCTCATGCCTCCGCCTTCTGGAATTACAGGCGCATGCTACCACACCTGGCTAATTTTTGTATATATATATATATTTTTTTTTTTATAAACAGAGATGGGGTTTCGCCATGTCGGTTAGCCTGGTCTTGAACTCCTGGCTTCAAGTGATCCGCCTGTCTCGCCTCCCAAAGTGTTGGGATTACAGGTGTCAGCCAACACACCCGGCTGACACTTGCTCTTAAGGACCCCACAGCCAGGAGCCCCACACTGCGAATGGCTGTGCCCCTCACCCAATCACTTCCCTGAGCATTTCTGAGAATTCAGCCCCAGCCTATTCCTCAGGACCCTTTCTGGACCGAGGCCCAAGGCGGTGCTGACTGAATGAAACACTGTTCCTTCTCCAGTTTAAGAAAATAAGCCCCTTGCTACACTCCCTGCTCCCCCCACTCCATCCCCACAGGTTCTGACTGTTACCTCTGGGGCTGGGGGTGGGGAGAAGCACTGATTGGCTCCTCACCTGATTGCCATGGTTACCTGCAGGTCCCTGCCAGCAGGTGCCAAGAGCAATGTAAACAGGAGCTCTGTCTCCCTAGAGCACCCTCTCCCCATCTCCCCACCCCAGGAGGCCCCAGGCCCCGAATTCCTGACACCCAGTTCCTCCCCTGCTGCACTGGCTGGTGTGTTGTGGGAAGGTGAGGGAAAAGGGGTGATGGGTGGCTGGAAATTCAGCTGTCATTACTTTGAAGAAGAGGCTGGGAGATGGGAAGAACTTGAGAGAGAAAGAGTGGGAGACACAGATCCCAAGAAACAGAAAGGGGAGGCCAAGTGCCTTTGGAAGTGGCCTCTGCAGAGCTCAGGGGCTTTAACAGGTCAGTCCCAACTGTGTGTCCACCCTCTCCCTGGACTTGAGCAGTGTCTCCACCTCTAACACCACTTTTCCCCAAGCAGAAGCCACGCCCTTCAGTATCTTCTGCCATTGTCTTTGCAAGGGTGTGTGTGACCCTTAGGCCCTGGGTCTGGCTATTGCTACTGTGGCAAGAAAGGAGCCTGCTCAGCACCCAGCATCCAACCCCGACCCCTCCTTGCCATTCAAGCCTGGCACTTGTCTTTCCCAATCCTTAAAGACCTCTGCTAAGAAAACACCACCATCTCTCTCTCTCTCTTTTTTTTTTTGAGATGGAGTCTCGCTCTGTCTCCCAGGCTGGAGGGCAGTGGTGAGATCTCAGCTCACTGCAACCACTGCCTCCTGGATTGAAGCGATTCTCCTGCCTCAACCTCCCAAGTACCTGGGAACACAGGCTCCCACCACCACACCTGGCTCATTTTTTTATTTTTAGTAGAGACAGGGTTTCACCATGTTGGCCAGGCTGGCCTCCAACTCCTGGCCTCAAGTGATCTGCCTGCCTTGGCCTCACAAACTGCTGGGATTACAGGCATGAGCCACCGCACCCAGACCCATCTCTCCATTTTAACCAGTGTCTTTCTGGAATCCACCCTGCAATTTAGGCCTCTCTCACTTCTTCATGGTCCCCTGTGGAAACAGTGGGTCTCCCAGTCAAGGCCCCTGTGCTTCTCCGATGCCATAGTTCTCTCTGCTGTGCCTGCCTTCAAATGAAATCAGCCCCACTCCCTCACTAGAATGTCTCCAGGTCTTAGGAAAAGTCACTCAAGGTCACATCCAGATGTCTAGAACTGCAGAGGTGAAAGGGCTCTTAGAAAGCACCTTGTTTGGCTGGGCGCGGTGGCTCACACCTGTAATCCCAACACTTTGGGAGGCCAAGGTGGCTGGATCATGAGGTCAGGAGTTCAAGACCAGGCTGGCAAAGATGGTGAAACCCCATCTCTACTAAAAATACAAAACATTATTTGGGTGTGGTGGCACACGCCTGTAGTCCCAGCTACTCGGGAGGCTGAGGCAGGAGAATCGCTTGAACCCAAGAGGCGGAGGTTGCAGTGAGCCGAGACCGCGCCACTGCACTACAGCCTGGGCAACAGAGCGAGACTCTGTCTCAAAAAAACAAACAAACGAAAAATACAAAAATTAGCTGAGCATGGTGGCAGGTGCCTGTAATCCCAGCTACTCAGGAAGATGAGCCAGAGAATTGCTTGAACCTGGGAGGTGGAGGTTGCAGTGAGTGGAGACCACGCCATTGCACTCCAGGCTGGGTGACAGAGTGAGACTCCATCTCAAAAAAAAAAAAAAAAAAAAAAAAGAAGCACCTGTTCAATCCTTTCATTTTACAGATGAGCACACTCAGATGTGACTTGTCGAAGGTCACAAAGCAAAGCAGTGACAGTCCTGTGACAAGAAAGTGCCTGACTCCCACCCCAGTGCTTTTAACATCCTGGCACCTGGCCAGGCTCCTCACTCATCTAAAGCAGTAATGCCTGGCTTCATCCCAGCAGGTGGGAGGGAAGAAGGGCAGCTCCCTGGAGTGGCGGGAAGACCACTCAGTGGGCCGCCATCTAGGAGGGAGTCAGTCTGGCCCAAACATGACCATCAGCATAGACTCCTGCCTTGAGGCAGGAAGAAGAGGCACCCGTTAATCACCTTACCCCACTTCCATGGTACACATGGGGAAACAGAGGCTGCAGAGAAGCACAGCCAGCCAGTCAGAGTACAGCATCAAGACTCAGACCCCGGATTTTCTGACTCTGTTTCTCTCCCAGCTTCATCGGTCCAACTGCACAAGCCCCTTGTATTTGTGTTTGGGGCCGTGAGGGTCTGCCTAGGGACACTGTGAACCTCCCAACTTTCCCCAATCCTTGACAATGACACAAAGATCTGCTCCCCTGTCCCCACCATGCATTGAAAAGGGCCTCCTGAAGCTGGGCTTACTCAACCCTCCCTTCCTCCCTCTCCTCTCAACTCCCTAAGATCAAACAGGCAAAACCCCAAAATATACACATTGCCAGATACACACACATACAGCCAGACACACCCCCCTCCACCTCTCACACTCAATACACACAAGGCCAGATAGACATGACACGACCCCCACCCCCGACACACACACATACACACACAATCACAGCCAGACCAGAGCCAGGCCCATCTTCACTAGATGCAGGAGCCATCCACATCCACCCCCAACCTAGAAGCACACAGCCTAACATCCCTGCCTGGAACCAGACTCTGCAAACACACACTAACCTTTTGTACACCCCTGGTCCACCCAGGGTAAATTATAATGTAAGTCTTCCAGTAACAAAGGCAGTTCAGCTTCCAACGTCAGCTCTGGGGACCAGAGGCTGAAGGGCTGCAGTGGGCATCTGACCTGCACAAAGCTGTACCCTCTTCCTGTTCGGGCTCTGTCCATTCCCATGACAACAGCTCCATCAACCAAGATCTCCCAGGCAAGGCCAGGGGCAGCAGAGTCCCCCTTCCTGCCCAACCCCCAAGACTTCAACTTGAACCCTACCCAGCTACACACGGTCTGGATCCTGGAGTCGGTTTCCTGCTTCATTCCAAAGACAGTTCTAAAGCCTCAATCCCCCAACCACCAACCAGAGGAGCTCGTGGGAAAACCTTCCCACCAAAAAGCTGCAACAGGGCTGGCTTTATGCTCCAAGTAATAACACCTTGGACCAGAGTGGAGGGGGAGGGAGGAGAGAAATTAAAGTTTCAGGAACAGAAACTGCCAGAGGTCCCAGAGGAAGAGGCATCAGAACAGAGCGGAGAGGGGACAACCAGGAGACAGCCCTCCCCTCGACACAGAGAGCTCTGGGGAGCCTGAGGAAGCGTGGGGGACACTGAGGGACAAAGATCTCGGGAAGCGCTGGGTAACACTTCCACAATATTCATTGGCAAATTAACCCGCCTCCAGGTCGCCTCCTCCCACCTCAAGCCAACCGGAGCGATTACGGGCAGACAGGGGCAGTGGGGGAGGGCGAGGGACATGCCTGGGCCCACCGTGGAGACAGGCAGTGGCTGTCTGCTTGCCCGGGGGTCCCACGCCCTCAGAGCTAGCAGCAGGAGGGCGTGCGGAGGGTGGGGTGGCTGGGCGTCCCAGGGGAATGGGGGCCAGTTTAGCGGACCCCCCTGCTTCCGATGGCGATGGGAAATATTGCGATAAATTTCCCTCCATCCCCATTCTACCCCCTCTGCCCGGGCTTCCCCAGGAGCCCATGTTCAAGGATCAGGAACCCCAGTTACCAGGTAGCCGCTCCTACCTTCCCTAGGGCCAAACTTTCCGCGGGGCCGCGGGAGGGGTGTTCGGGAGGGAGGCTTTGCTGAGGTGGTTCAGGGAGGGGGCGGGGCGCCGGCGCCGGGACGGGGAGCGGGGACCGGCTGGGGGAGGTGCCCGAGAGGACCCGGGCCCGGGCGGGGAAGGGCGCCCTCCCCCGGCCTCGCGGCCGCCCCAAAGCACATCCCCTTCTGCCGGCCCCAAGTCCCTGCGCGTCCACGACGCCCCAGTGCCCATGGGAGAGGGTCCCCTGCTCAGACGGAAAAGGGGGCAGATAGGGCAGAGCAAGGGGCGGTTTTGGCTCGTGGGGAGCGGCGACCCAACCCAGCGCGCAGCCCGCAAGCCCTCCCGGCTGCCCCGGACCTTCCCTCTCGCTACCTCGGAACAGGGTCTGCCCGGGGGCTGCTGCACAAAGAGGTGGTGGTCGAGGGAGACGCCAAATCGTTAAGAGGGGGAGCCCGTTTCGGCCATCTTGGAAGAGAGGAAAGGGAAAAAGGGACAGAAAAAAGGGAGAAAGAAAGGCGGACGGGGCAAGCTGGGCTAGGGGCTGACGAGGAGCGGGGGGTGCGAGGGCAGGATCGGCTCAGAGCCTCCCCCTCTCACCCGGGCTTGCAAAGAACGGCCGGCCCCCCATTCCAATCCCCAGAGGGTTACAGGCCAGGAGAGGGAAAGGAAGGGGGAGTCTGCTCCACTTACCTGGGTTCGGGGTCCGGTGGGTCTCGGGGAGGGGGGGATGGGAGGGAGGGAGGGAAGGGAGGGGAGGGGGGCCGCAGCCGTGTCGCTCGCCCGGGCGGCGGGAGGGGAGAAACCTACGGTAAGAAAGGAGTTTGTGAAAGCGGCTTGGGGTGGGAGGGAGAGAGGGGAGGGGAGGGGACCGAGGGGGGAGGGGAGGGACCGGAGTGTTGGGGGGAGACAAAATGGCTTTTTTCCTCCAGACAAGAGTAGGTCCCGCCCACCACTCACCCACGTGACCTCATTCCTTCAGGATGCTGGCAGAGAGGGGAAGAGGAGGGGGAGGCTGGCGCGGCCGCTCCCAGCCACCGGGTGCCGGGCCCCCAGCCAGGACGAGACCCCTCCCTTCCCACGCGGCCCCCCCGACCCCGGAGGATGGATTCTCTTCTGTTACCTTCCGCAGTCATCCCCCTCCCCTCAAAATATGGGTTCCCCCCACTGACCCTGTGATGCCCACCCATAGCTGGGGCGCCTGGAAAATGGTGAAATGGGGACTGGGCTGAAAGGTGGCCCGCGGTTCTCCACGTCCTGGCCTAGGGCAAAGGGCGCGAGGCTCCGGCGGAGGACGCGACGCTTCAGCCACGCGTCCGAGCGATTTTCATTCACTCCAAGTGACACTGCCTTAAAATTAATAACTGCATCTGGGAGGGGGAGCGTGTCCTACCCGCTCTCTTTGCCCCCTCGGCGGCAGGGGCGCTGGCCCCGAAAAGCGGCGCACCGGGATCCAGCCTGGGCGCCTGGCAGGGAGCAATCGCGAGAGGGGAGTGGAGGTGCGGGCTGAGGCCGGGTTAGGGGTCTCGCCGCCGGGGGCTTGGGTCGCTCTGGCGGAGGCTGCGCCCCCGGCGTGCTCGGGCAGAGAAGAATGGAGGCCTGCTGAGGACGGTAACTCAGGCTCCGGGCCTGGGACACAATCCGGCCGAAAGCGAGAGGCCACACTGGACTAGGAAACGAGGCGCCGGGCTGGAAGGTGGGCCCGCGCCTTTTCTCCTGCCTGGCGCCGATTCCCGCATTTTTCGCTCGCGCCCTGCGCTGCGCGCTGCCTGTGCGCCTCCCTCGGCGCGGGCGGGAGAGTCGGGCAAGCGCCAAGACGGCTGGGCTCGACTCCCACCGGCGCCCCGGCTCCACCTGGTGCTGGGGCTCCGGTCCTCAGTGGCTCCGGCCGGAGGGAGAGAACGAGGAGGGAGGCTTGGAAACGCCGGGAGGAGCGGTGAGGCCGGCGCCGGGGAAGCGAATCGATACTGCGTTACTGGACGCCCGCGGGCCTCATGAGGACAGTCGATTCGCTCATTCCTTATTCACGATTTATTAGGGATGGCGGCCGCGTCTGTCCCTCCAGAGAGCTTGATTATCCATCCGGCCAGTAGCGCCATTAAGCGCACTGACGGTGGGAGGCTCGAGTTAGAAATTGGGAAAGGAATCTTCGCCCAGTTTTGGAGCGCCTGCCTCTTCTTCCCTCGCTGCTCGCAGCCAAGGCAGCCCCGAAACTGGGGGCCCCGGCTGAATGCTTTCGCCCTCTGGCCGCCGAGTGACCCCAGCTTGAGCCTGCAGCCACAACAGCGGGACGGGGGCGGGGAGGAAGAGGAAGGGCGGAGAGACTTCCTTCCAGAGGGAGTGGTCCGAGAACCGGCGGGAGAAGGGCCAAGGGAAGATCCGGTCACCTGCTCCCAAGCCTGCAGGCGAAGAGGCGAGTTCACCGGCCCCAGAGGAAAGGGGACCCGCCCACTGTTCCCAGGGCAAATGTGTCGCCGGCATCCTGGACTCTGCCAGGGAAAACGCGCATCCACTCGCTCTGCCGGGAGGGGAGCGCGGCAGGGACTCCCAGGCAGCCGCCCCTCTCTGGCTACAAGACCCCGAACAAGAGAAACCCGTAACAGGGCCTTTGCGGAGATCTGGATCCCACCCACCAACCACACGGACACCTAGGGGCTGCCCCCTCGGGGCATTATCAGCCAGTGGGAAGGAGGTTGACGTTCCTCTGCGGCCCATGAATCCTGGAGGGCTTCCCGAGGGGCCACCGAGGTCCATCCACTTATTCCTCGGTTGTTAAGCGCCAGACAGGAGAGAACCGCTAGAGAGGAGTGTGCTAAGACCCCTTTACCCACTAAAACTCCATTTTCATCTTTTGCGTCCTTGATGACTAGTCCCCACATTCCTGGCCTTTCTGGTTTCTCAGGAGAACCTTCTGACCAGCTCCTCCCACATCGGAAGAGTTTTCTAGTCTTTTGTTCTACTGCTAGCCGACAGAGAAGCACCTGTCATGTGCCAGTGTCAAATGCTGCGCTAGGAACTGGGGACTCAAGGCACAAGAGCCTGGCTTTTGCGCGGGGTGCTCACAGGCCGGTGGGTGCAAACCCTGAGGGACACACAGCCTGTCCCTTTAAGCGCCCACCGCTTCTGATGTGAGCGCTAAGAGTGAGTGAGTACTTGGGTAGGCTTCCACAAGAGGCCTCCTTTGAGCCGAATCTGCAGAGACCAAGTGTCTATGAGAACTGCTTAAGAGTGCTTTGCACATTCTCCTCCACAAAGGTCGAGGCTCCCACCGCGCCCAGGAATGCGCCTCGGCAAACATTAGGCGCCCCTTGATTTTGTGTTTGCATCTCACGCGGTCCTCTAGCTGACAAGTGCATCAGAAGAGTCACAGTGTCTGTCACAGTCTAGAGGCTCGCAGAGGACAGGAACGCGGGAAATCTAGGCAATTATCTCCAGCATATACCAAGAGCTATTGCGAGGATCAGATCCCTTTAAAAATGGTGACGAGACAGGAGAGGGCGGCTCCTCTAATGCTTTCCGGAACGTCTTTACCTCTGTGTCCTTTATACCTTTTATCTCCCCCAAACAAGGTCCTTAGTCAGTTTCTGCTTCTCTTTCCACATCCTCCTCCCCCACTTCTCTGTGTAGTTCTAGGGGAAAAAAAAGTATTGTTTTCCTTTCTTTTCTGATGCTTCTCACTTTAAATGTGTCTATTGTCCCTCTCTCTGTCTTGGGGTCTTCCGCACTCACCCTGCCTAGTTCTCTGTCATGTCCCTTCTTTCCCTGTATCACAACAATGTTCTCCCTTTCTCATCTTTGTTTCTCTTCATACCTGTTTCTCTGTGTCTCTCTCTCATTCCCTTCCCTTCCAAATGTAGTATTTGGAGATTGTAATATCGATTGAGGCAGACAATAAACAACTGTCGAACCTCCACTGTAAATTCATTCCTAATCCTACGAAAAAATGCATCCTGAAACATGTTCCTTGCACAGTGAAACAAAAACCTCTGTCTTTAGGTTTCCTGCCATCCAGCTTGGAGGCGGGGTGGGGGGTGTGGAGGGAAGTGCTGGAGAAATTATCCCATTATTGACTGAGCAGCAAAGAATTTTCAAGAACAGTGATTCTCCTAGAAAAAGTATTGCTGCTGCCATTTCTATGCAAAATTTGGCTTTTGAGGCCGGGCGCGGTGGCTCAAGCCTGTAATCCCTGCACTTTGGGAGGCCGAGACGGGCGGATCACGAGGTCAGGACATCGAGACCATCCTGGCTAACATGGTGAAACCCCGTCTCTACTAAAAAATACAAAAAATTGCCGGGCGAAGTGGCGGGCGCCTGTAGTCCCTGCGACTCGGGAGGCTGAGGCAGGAGAATGGCGCAAACCCGGGAGGTGGAGCTTGCAGTGAGCTGAGATCCCGCCACTGCACTCCAGCCTGGGCGACAGCGCGAGACTCTGTCTCAAAAAAAAAAAAAAAAAAAAAAAAAAAAAAAAAAAAAAAAAAAAAAAATTTGGCTTTTGAGTAAAAGGCTTAGGTTTTTATCTTCGGGGGACGGGGGGAACAAAACCCAAAAGACAAAAAAAAACCACAGCGTCCCTGGGTGGGCTCGAACCACCAACCTTTCGGTTAACAGCCGAACGCGCTAACCGATTGCGCCACAGAGACCGCGACGATTGCTGGCGTGGTGGTGAGCCGAGTCAATGGGAGCGAGCCTGGACGGTGCAGACGCCGTTAAGAGATGCCGCCATCGGGCGAAATAAGTGGAACCCGGGGGAGAAAGGGAAGGATCCTGATGGGGGAGGGGGACGAAAGGGCTTGGGAGGAGAGGACGCGGGACGTGCACCCTCTTCCTCCATTGGCTTGGCGAGAGGTCGACTCTGGCTGTCCTCGGGTTCTACCTCAAACGTGGAGAGGCCCGGAACATCCTTTTTTTTTTTTTTTTTTTTTTGAGACGGAGTCTTGCTCTGTCGCCCAGGCTGGAGTGCAGTGGCCGGATCTCAGCTCACTGCAAGCTCCGCCTCCCGGGTTTACGCCATTCTCCTGCCTCAGCCTCCCGAGTAGCTGGGACTACAGGCGCCCGCCACCTCGCCCGGCTAGTTTTTTGTATTTTTTAGTAGAGACGGGGTTTCACCGGGTTAGCCAGGATGGTCTCGATCTCCTGACCTCGTGATCCGCCCGTCTCGGCCTCCCAAAGTGCTGGGATTACAGGCTTGAGCCACCGCGCCCAGCCGGAACATCATTTTTTAGGGTGACCTGAGATTGAGGATACGTGAAGTCGGCGCGCAGGAAGTCCCCCAAATCAGAACAGCCTTGGGCTTCCAAACTCCCCTTCGCAGCTGAACCCCTGCAGCCGCAGAATACCCACGACGCCTACCCGCGACGCCTTCCACTTCCCACCTGCATCATTAAATTTACATTTAATGGGCGCCTCGTATATACCAGGCACTGTTGTGGGCCAGTGACTATTCAGAGCCTAGGCAAGTGCCTGGTACACAGTAAACGTAAGGATTTCTGGAGTGAATAAATAAGCTAGTACGACTAATAGGACGAACTCATACATCACGGTGATAAGCGTCACGGTGCCCCTTCAGCTGGGGACGCAGCCCCCTAAACCCAGTTTCACCAGCCCACGTGCGCGCAGGCTCCGCCCCCAGTCCCGAGTCAGGTCCGCCGAGATCCCACTATGCACCGTGTTGCAAGCCTCTTCCGCACCCACAGTGACTTTTCACTTCCGCTTTTCCCGCCTCCGTTTCGACTTTGCAACCAAACTACCTGAACTGGTGACCGACAGAGGCGCGGGACCAATAGAAAGCCCAGATGTCCAGGAAGAGTCCGCCTATCAGCCAATAAAGAGACAGCAGCGAGAGCGGTTGCGCAGTGAAGGCTAGACCCGGTTTACTGGAATTGCTCCGGCGATCGAGGGGTCCTAGTACACCGCAATCATGGTGAGATGGGGAGTTAAAGCAAAGGAGCACAGGGAAGGATTGAGAAGCGGAGGGGGTCGGGAGAGGCTTGGGGACGAAAAGGGCCAAGGGTCGATGGAAGGAAACGGTTTCAGTTCGAGGGGAGCGGACCCCGGTGAGGACCAAGAGGGTGAGTGCGGCTCATCGCCGCCACACAGTGCTCATCCCAGCTGGAGAACCAGGGGTTCAGGCGCCTCCGGAATGGAGAACGGGCGTACAGGAGCCTCCGCATCAGGAGCGAGGCCGGGGGCTGTCGCAGCGTTTGACCCCCCGCGCTGACCCCTCCGCTCTGTCTGTCCTAGTCTATTATGTCCTATAACGGAGGGGCCGTCATGGCCATGAAGGGGAAGAACTGTGTGGCCATCGCTGCAGACAGGCGCTTCGGGATCCAGGCCCAGATGGTGACCACGGACTTCCAGAAGATCTTTCCCATGGGTGACCGGCTGTACATCGGTCTGGCCGGGCTCGCCACTGACGTCCAGACAGTGTAAGTTTCAAGGGTCCCTGCCCACACCCAGGTCTCTTCTTGGACCATCCTCCCCTGGCGTCTTGACCGGCCAAGGTGTCAGTCATCTACCACACACCACCAGTGAGTTTGAGACTTTGCCGCACACCATAGCGATACAGAGATGTATCCTAATCAACTTTTACCCGCATTTCCGCTGTGCCAGGCTCTGTGGAAAACACCTCACATTCATGGACTTACTTAATCCTCTCCCTGAGGATTCCATGTTGCCATCCCATTTTGCAGATGAGGAAACTGAGGGTCTCAGAGAGTGTCTTGCCCAAGAAGCAAAGTCAATGAGTGTCAGCCAGGATTCCCACGCGAGTCTCTCTAAGGCCGAAGTCAGCGCTCAGTCCCTAAAGAGTGAGACTCTGTCTCCAGAAACGTGTCCCTCCCTTTCTTTTTTTTCTTTTCTTTTTTTTTTGAGACAGGGACTTGCTCTGTCACCCAGGCTGGAGCTCAGTGGCGTGATCTTGGCTCACTGCAACCTCCACCTCCCAGGCTCAAGCGATTTTTGTGCCTCAGCCTCCTGAGTAGCTGGGACTACAGGCACGCACCACCATGCCTGGCTAATTTTTGTATTTTTAGTAGAGACAGGGTTTCACCATGTTGGCCAGGCTGGTATGGAACTCCTGACCTCAAGTGATCCACCTGCATCAGCCTCCCAAAGTGCTGAGATTACAGGCATGAGCTACCGCACCTGGCCTGACTTTGATTTTGACACCAATTTTGAGGGGACAAGGCAAACCCAACAGAAACATCTTGCAAACAGTTGGGGTTTTGATATTATATCTCAGGGTTGGGGAAGCATTGGCAATGTGCCAAATCTATGGGAGCAGATTCTGGAGAGACAAAGTCTGTAGAGAGGGAAATAATGAGTAGCAGTTTAAGAGCTGAACCCTACATTTAGCAGTGAGGCGACAAGAGAAGCCAGAGAATAATAAGAGAGGAAAAGAATGGCGATAGGCTTTCAGGAGGGAATACGTGGTCACAGGGGGCAGGTGCTGCAGGGTACTGGTGGCCTGAGGAGCGGCAGGTCCTCGATTTGTTTCCTAGAAGGTGGAGAGACTAGCTCACAAGTGTGGGTGGATGCCTGTCAGAAAATGTTCTCATTTCGGCCAGGCACGGTGGCTCACACCTGTAATACCAACACTTTGGGAGATGGGCGGATATCTTGAGATCAGGAGTTCCAGACCAGCCTGGCCAACATGGTGAAACCCTGTCTCTACTAAAAATACAAAAATTAACTGGGCGTGGTTGTGATCACCTGTAATCCCAGTTCCACAGGAGGCTAAGGCTAGAGAATTGCTTGAACCTGAGAGACGGAGGTTGCAGTGAGCTGAGATTGTGCCACTGCACTCTAGCCTGGGCAACAGAGGGCGATTCTGTCTCAGAAATAAAAAGAAGGAAATTAAAAAAGAAAATGTTCTCATTTCTCTTAAAACTCCCTGAGTCTCAAGAACATAACACTTACTGAGATCTCGCGGCCCTTTTTTCCTGTCCTGGTAGAGTCAGAGAATGACATCCTGGGGTTCCTGTCAGTGTGAAGTCTCCTGTGAGCCTTCCCCTCTCCAGTCACTGCTGTTCTCACACCATTTCCTTTTCTTCAGAGGGCTTTTCTCACTGCGTTTGCTTGCTTGTGGGCAATAACTGCCCATTTCATTAGGCCTCGGTTTCCCTACCTGTAAGATGAAGCTCAAGTCATTTCTAAGGCTCTTTGCTCTGGTGTCCTGAGACACTGCTTTGCCTCCAGCAGGTGTGGCATTGGTCTGCTCTATGCAGGGGCCTATCCTGGGGCTCTGAAATGGAACTGGCAAGCTGTGACCTTTTTTCCTTTTTTCACCAAAGCTGCCAAGTGGCCTTTTTCTTTTTGGAGACGGGAGTCTCGCTCTGTCGCCCAGGCTGGAGTGCAGTGGCGCAATCTCAGCTCACTGTAAGCTCCTCCTCCTGGGTTCACGCCATTCTGCCTCAGCCTCCCAAGTAGCTGGGACGACAGGCGCCCGCCACCACGGCCGGCTAATTTTTTGTATTTTTAGTAGAGACGGGGTTTCACCGTGTTAGCCAGGATGGTCTCGATCTCCTGACCTCGTGATCCGCCCACCTCGGCCTCCCAAAGTGCTGGGATTACAGGCATGAACCGCTGCGCCTGGCTGCCAAGTGGCCTTTTTCTAAGGCACCTTTCAGGTCTGTTAGCACATAGCACAGCAGTTGGTCCTGCTCTTTTTTTCTTTTTTTTTGGTCACCCAGACTGGTGACATAAACTTAACTCACTGCAACCTCTAACTCCAGGGCTCAAGTGATCCTTCCACCTCACCCTCCCAAGTGGCTGGGACTAAGGTGTGCACCACCATGCCTAGCTAATTTTTGTATTTTTTGTAAGAGACAAGATTTCACTACGTTGCCCAGGCTTGGCTTGAACTCCTGAGCTCAAGCGATCCAGCCGCCTCAATCTCCCAAAGTGCTGGGATTA